GACCGGCGGTGGGAAGTGGTTTCTGGGCAGGCGGGGCGGCATGGCAGAGCGGGCCGGCTGTGGGCGGCAGGGGCCGGTGGTGGCTGGAGGCTCAGGGGGGTGGAGTTTGATGATAAACTACATGCCCTTGATTTCGTATCCAACGGCTGGAAAATCTAATGACCAGAGATGAAAAAGTCAGTCGACTGACGTGTAGCCTCACCCCACACGTACACATGCTCGCACGCAAGACACGCACACATGCAAGCGTGCAACACTGACACGTACACATAACGAACACACGCGCGCATGCAGGCGTGCAACACTGACACGTACACATGCACTCATGAACACATGCACGTACGCACACATGCATGCAACACCGAAATGTACCCTTGCACGCACGCAACACTCACACGCCTGCATGCACACAACACACGACGCAAGACACACGCTCAACCTATACATGCATGCAACCTTTGTTAAGGACATGGATTGTTACGGGTATTAATCAATCTTATCTGTGATAAGCAGAACATTGATGTTTGCAGCGGTCTTTATGAATCACAAGGTATCGAACGGGCTATCAACATAGTAGGCTTATCTACATGAAAAGGATGACATCACACTCAATGAGCAATCCTCGGTTTATGAAATGCCCGCTTCTGACCGCCCTGGCCCACCAAAGGTTCCTCTGCTGTGCACTGCCTGCGTTGGGTCACTGACATGCAGGCCATGTACCGAAAGATCCCACACGTTAGTGGAAGAACGACGTGGTGTCCTACGTCAGAGTCGAGGGCGCCACTCGTTGCACGCCCGGCTGAACATGCCTCCTTGCATCATTCAAACACCTCCATGAAACTCGCCCATGTGGAAGCCGAGAAACCCACTCTGGACACATGTCCGGCATTAAACGCAACGCCGGCTGAGCTCCTCCCATCTGCCATCTATTTAATCTCCTATTTAAATGAGGCCAAACGCCGGCCAAGAATCGCACACCTCCGTCGCTCCCCTATCTCCTCCTTCACCATTTAGTCCACTCTTACAATGGCTTACGAAGAGTAGTTATTCCACACAAGCCATTTGTCTAGGTTTGTATCTCTCACACACCACTACCAAAAAAAGACACATCCGTGACATTTTGGGCCGAACGAATTTTTTTTCTGTCATACATATGACACTTATATGACGATAATTGTGACAAAACCCGGTATCATCATAGATGTGGTGGGCTCCTACTTCTATGACAAAAAATCATGACAGAAAATGGGCTTTTCGTCCTGGGCGGGCCGAAGACGCAGCTGCATGACATTCTTTGGGCCGTCCATGACAGAAAAAACCGTGGTAGAAGCGAGGGCGAGGAAAATTTCGGGGAGTTCCCGGTTACGGTGGGAGGTCAGGGGCCGAGCAATGCGCAATTCTCTTGTACACGTACGCGCGTGTGTGCGAGGCGTTGGCTCTAACTGAACCCGAGCGAGGCGTTCGGCTCTAACTAAACCTGAGCGATTGCACTGCAGGCTACGCGTTACTGAACCCGAGCGATCGATCAATGGCTGTTAACTGAACCCGATCGAGCGATTCCTTCGCTACTGCTGCTAACTGAAGCCGATCGATGCTGCCTATGGATGAACAGTGAGCGTTGCGGGAGGGGGGGTTGGATGAACAGTTCCCGGTGGGGGTGGATGAACAGGACCCTGTGGTGTTGCCTCTGGATGAACAGGAGCCCGATCGATCGAGCCGGTTGGGGCTGGATGAATAGGACCCCTTGGAGGGCTGGATGAACAGGACCACCCTGTGGAGGGCAGGATGAACAGTAGACGGTGGAGGGCATGATGAACAGTAGCCCGTGGAGGGGTGGTTGAACAGGAGCCCGTGGAGAGGGCTGGTTGAACAGTAGCCGGTGGAGTAGCGCGCGGTGGAGGCTGGATGAACAGGAGCCCGTGGATGAACAGTCGCAGGTGCAGGCTAGAGGAGGTCGACGGTGGATGAATAGTAGCTCGTGGAGGCTGGAGGGGGTCGACGGTGGAGATGAACAGTGTCCCATGGAGTCCCGTTTTGCGGTACGCCACACCCCTCCCGATGAACAGGACCCGCGTTTCGACCGTAGTGTTCCAACACAAGTCCGTTTCGTCCGTTTTGCGGTACGCCACACCCCTCCCGATCAACAGGACCCCCGTTTCGACCGTAGGAGGTCCATTTCCTCCGTTTTGCAGTATGCCAGACCCCTCCCGATCAACAGGATCCCGTTTCAAACGTGGCCTGTCGAACACAAGGCCGTTTCCTCTGTTCTGCGGTACGCCAGACCTCGTTTCCATCGCCCATTCCATCCAAGCCCTCCCAATGAACACGACGCATTTCGTTGCCTCCCCATGAACACGACGTATTCCGTTGCCTCCCCATGAACACGACGCGTTCCGTTGCCTCCCCATGAACACGACGACGATGTTGTTTCTCCGTTCTGACCCAGCCATTTACACGATCCCCGATATAGAAAAGATAAAAAGGGTTCAGGAATTGTTAAATTTAGATATAGGACCCTAGAAGAAGAATATAGGACCCGAGTGGAAGACTCAGAAGAGGAATATGAGACCCTAGAAGACGAATACAGGACCCGAGAGGACGAATATGAATATGAAACCCTAGAAGAATCTAAATATGGAATCCTAGAAGACGAATACGAATATGAAACCCTAGAAGACGAATATGGGAGCCCAGAAAACGAATATGGGAACCCAGAGAATGAATATAGGACTTTAGAGAAAGACTCGGAAGAGGAATATGGGAGCCCAGAGAGCAAATATAGGACCCAAGAGGACGAATATGGAACTCTAGAGGAAGACTCAGAAGACGAATATGGCAGCCCCGGGGAAAGCGCAGAGGAAAAATATGGTACTTTAGAGGAAGACTCGGAAGAAGATTCATAGGACGAATACGAGAGCCCAGAGGAAGATTCCATCTTAAAAAAAGAGGGTTTGAGCATCGAGGAACAAAAGAATTTAGTCTAAAATGCCAAAAAGAACTAGATCAGTTTTTTTCATTCTTCAAGAACTTCATATCTTGCCGAGATCTTCATCCCTAAAGATACTTGACAATAGTATTATTGGAGTGAATACACAACTCACAAAAAATACAAGAAGTCGACTAGGCGGACTGGTCCGAGTGAAGAGAAAAAAAAGCCATACGGAACTCAAAATATTTTCCGGAGATATTCATTTTCCTGAAGAGGCGGATAAGATATTAGGTGGTTGTTTGATACCGCCAGAAAGACAAAAAAAGATTCTAAGGAATCAAAAAAAAAGAAAAATTGGGTCTATGTTCAACAGAAAAAATTCTCAAGAGCAAGGAAAAGTATTTTGTTTTCGTTCGCCCTACAGTGGCATATGAAATGGATGAAGGAAGAAATTTAGCAACACTTTTCCCGCAGGATCTCTTGCAAGAAGAAAATAATCTCCAAATTCGACTTGTCAATTTTATTTCTCATGAAAATAGCAAGTTAACTCAAAGAATTTATCACACAAATAGTCAATTTGTTAGAACTTTCTTAGTAGTGAATTGGGAACAAGAAGAAAAAGAAAAGGCTGGTGCTTCCCTTGTTGAGGTAAGAGCAAATGATCTTATTCGCGATTTCCTAAGAATTGAGTTAGTCAAGTCCACTATTTCGTATACACGAAAAAGGTATGGTAGGACAAGTGCAGGACCGATTCCCCATAATAGGTTAGATCGCGCCAATATCAATTCTTTTTATTCCAAGGCAAAGATTGAATCACTTAGTCAACATCCAGAAGCTATTGGCACTTTGTTGAATCGAAGAATACCACTCTTTGATGATTTTGTCGGCATCCAACTGTTCTCGAATTGGTTTATTCAAGAATTCAAAACATCCCAATGCGATAAAAGAATGGAATCCTAGAATTCCTATTCGAGAAATTTTTGGGCCCTTAGGCACTATTGTAGCTAGTATATCGCATTTTTCTTCATCTTACTATTTACTAACGCATAATAAAATCCTGTTAAAAAATATTTGTTCGTTGACAATTTAAAACAAACCTTCCAAGTACTTCAAGGACTTAAATACTCTTTAATAGATGAAAATAAAAGGATTTCTAATTTTGATAGTAACATAATGTTGGATCCATTCCTTTTGAATTGTTAGTTTGTCCATCATGATTCTTGGGAAGAGATATTGGCAATAATTCACCTTGGACAATTTATTTGTGAAAATGTATGTCTATTTAAATCGCACATAAAAAATCCAGTCAAATTTTCGTTGTAAATATGAATTCCTTTGTTATAAGAGCAGCTAAACCTTATTTGGACACTACAGGAGCAACTGTTAATGGTCATTATGGAGAAATCCTTTACAAGGGAGATAGGTTAGTTACGTTTATATATGAAAAATCGAGATCTAGTGACATAACGCAAGGTCTTCCAAAAGTGGAACAAATCTTTGAAGCGCGTTCAATTGATTCATTATCCCCGAATCTCGAAAGGAGAATTGAGGATTGGAATGAGCGTATATCAAGAATTCTTGGGGTCCCTTAGGGATTCTTGATTGGAGCTGAGCTAACCATAGCCCAAAGTCCTATCTCTTTGGTTAATAAAATCCAAAAGGTTTATCGATCCCAAGGGGTACAGATCCATAATAGACATATAGAGATTATTATACACCAAGTAACATCAAAAGTGCGGGTTTCCGAAGATGGAATGTCTAATGTTTTTTCGCCTGGGGAATTAATCGGACTATTACGAGCGGAACGAGCAGGATAAGCTTTGTATGAATCGATCTATTATCGGGCAATCTTATTGGGAATAACAAGGGCTTCCCTGAATAACCAAAGTTTCATATCTGAAGCAAGTTTTCAAGAAACTGCTCGAGTTTTAGCAAAAGCTGCCCTACGAGGTCGCATTGATTGGTTGAAAGGCTTGAAGAAAATGTAGTTCTGGGGGGATTATACCTATTGGTACCGGATTCCAAAAATTTGTGCATCGTTCCCCACAAGACAAGAACCATTATTTCGAAAAAAAATCTATTCGCGTCGGAAATGAGAGATTTTTTGTTTCTCCATACATAATTAGTTTCTTCAGATTCTGACGTAACAAACAATTTTTATGAGACATAATAACACCCATAAAAATATTTTTTACTTTACTAGACTTTTGTACTTAGAACACTAACAGGTCAAATTTTAGATTTTTAAGATCCCTGGCCGTACGTATGCGGGAGTAGGCATTCGAGACCCCGCCCGTATGTACACATATGTGGCCGTCTTTTCTTTCTTGCACCCTGGCCGCTGTACGTACGTGTACATGCTACGTGCGCGCCTCTACTACGACACGTGCGCGCCTCTACATCGACCAGTATATATGTACGTACACGTTCGCGACCAGAATGACAATGCTATGTACGATTCGACCAGGTGGGTCCCGACTGTCAGGCACTTCCTTGCATGCGAAGATGTAGCTGGTGGGTCCCAGCAGTCAGGGGCAAACGTTTTTTCGCGAAATACGGTGGCCTGTCCGGTGGGTCCCCGCTGTCAGGTAGAGGAATAATTATTTTGCGCGTAATAAGGAGGCACTTCCTTGATGCGGTCGTGGACCCAGCTGTCAGCGTCTCCACGCATAGTACTCTTTCGATGGAAGTCGGTCATTGACCACATTGACCACGCCGCGCCGAGAGCACCACGGCGGTGGACGATGGCGAGGCCTAGGAAGGGGATGATGTGGAGCCGGGGAAGATGCGGCAGTGGAAGCCCGCGCGGAGAGGAGTACGAGGGTTCAGTGGTTCGGCTGCGGTGTGAGGCTGCCTTCGCTGCAGGGCCTGGCCAGCGGTGGGAATAGTAGATGGCAGTGAGGCCTCCACGGCAGCACAGCCGGCCACGAGAGGCAGGAGCATGCAGCACGACCGGCGCTGCTTTGGACGGTTGGAGCAAGAAGACCAGAGGTTGAAGAAGCACTACGGCCGTTGGATGGACATCGTACGGTCACTGAGCTAGAATCGTTCATGTTGACTAAGTTCACAAAGCCCTTCGTCCCCGTCAACTTAGTAGGCCCACAAGTCAGCCTCCCACCAAGGTGGGTCCCAGCTAGCCGGGGGAGTATTCATTTTTTGTGCGTAATAAGGAGGCACTTCCGGTGGGTCTGAGCTGACAACGGGGGGAACATTTTTTTCGTGAAATACGGTGGCCCGTCCGGTGGGTCCCAGCAGTCAGGGGGAAACGATTTTTTTCTCAAAATACTGGTGGCCCATCCGGTGGGTCCTGGCTGTCAGGTGGAGGAATAATTATTTTCCGCGTAATAAGGAGGCACTTCCTTGCGGCTGCCGTGGACCCAGCTGTCAGCCTTTCCACGTACAGTACTCTTCCGATGGAAGTCGGTCGTTGACCACATTGACCACGCCGCGCCGAGAGCACCACGGTGGTGGACGACGGCGAGGCATAGGAAGGGGACGACGCGGAGCCGGGAAGACGCGGCAGTGGATGCCCATGCAGAGAGGAGTACGAGCGTTCACCGGTTCGGATGCGGTGTGAGGCTACCGTCGCCGCAGAATAACAGGGGGTGTGGGTGAGTAGAGGGATGCCCTGGCCAGCGGTTGGAGTAGTAGGGGGCGATGAGGCCTGCACGGCAGCACAACCGGCCACGGGAGGCGGGAGTAGGCGGTCCCGCCGGCGCTGCTTTGGCGGCTGGAGCAAGAAGATCAGAGATTGAAGAAACACGACGGCCGTTGGATTGACATCCAACGGTTACGTCTGCTAGAATCGTTTGTTGACGTATGTAATAACTAAAAGAATCTTGCATACGCGTCAGCTAAACAGGCCCACAAGTCAGACCACTCCCTCTTTTTTTAATAATTTATATATAGCTCATGGCAACTACTTATGCAATTTATTGCAGTCATTTTTTTGGTTGTCCAGGGCCAATTTCGCATATTTCTGTGGGTTCCAAACTATTTTTAATACCGAAATGTCCAGCCAGATTTAAAGTACTTTGAAGATATATTTAAATTAGGTTAATGCCCAGTGAAATAGGAATCTGAAAATGTAATAAAATTCAGAAATTATAAAGTAATTTCCAATTTGTCATCTGTTTTTATATTTACAACCCATTTCATATTACTTTCATGATTTGCAGGCGTCTTGAAAGAGTTGCAGCCCATCAGGGCGTAGAAAAATAAGTAGGCATGTATTGGGTATTCTTCAGAAAAAATAAACTGGGCTCATTTTCACAAAGAAAAAAAATAGCTGGGCTGGTCACATGGTGAACATAAAATATAAGCCTGGGCTAGACGGGCCACAGCCCAGTTCAAACCCTGCTCCGTCTCAACAATACCAAACAAAAAATGCTGCTCGAGTAGCTACGTCCCAGGTGTCAGCCGATCTTGTGTTGTTCTCTTGTCTATTGACTATATACGCTCACAATGTCGTGGGTCCCAAATGTCAGGAAAACACTAGGAGAAAGAATTTTATTTTTCCATACGTTGACGTGGTGGGCCCCTACTGTCATCCTCTCCACATACTTCTGCCGATTCCTGTTGTTTGTTGACCATGTTGACAACACGAGAGGGCGGTGCCGCGGCGAGTGCGCCAAAGCGCGCAGAGGACGTCAGCGTTAACGATTTAGGAGACGGTGGGGCGGTGATGCGTGCGCTAAGGCACAGCCAGCCGTGGGAGGCGGAAGCAGGCGGCCCCGCCGGTGCTGGTTTGGTTTTGGCGGCTGGAGGAAGACAGGACTGAAGAAACATGACAGATTGTAAAAGCAGCAGGAGTAATTAACAACCTTAATTGAAACCAGCTGGGGCACTTAACAACCAAAGCTGAAAGCAGTATGAGTACTTATACAGGTTCAACCGTACAAAGCACGCCTCGAACAGTGCTACTTTGCCTACAGTTAACCAAGGGTGAGGCCGCCAAGCCCCAGGACAAGGCCCAGGCGCCACCCCGTGCATCCACAACCTTCTGAAAGCGGCTTCATCTCGCAACATGGTCAATAAACAGGATATTCTCTTTAGAGCCATGGAAAAGCATGAACATAATCTTCTGTCCTATTCTCCAAGATGGACGAGCCTTCATTATTTGAGACCACCCATGAATAAGTATCTTTTCACGTCCAAGGGGAATTGAGTAGGTCGACATAAACATCATGTTGTGACCAAGCGCAAGTCTGACCCAACCATGGTCAGGCATCTGTATAGGAACAATAGAACTCAGCAGTTCCTGTTTCAAGAAGATCACAACTGTAAAACTGTGTATAAGCAATAGTTTATGAACAACATATATAACAGAAAACAGCTCGTACCATAAGTTTCTAGACACAGTTGGACCTGTTTAACGAGTGCAGCAGTGGCACACATATCCCACGTGGCCTTCCACCATTGAAACACCCCACAA